CATCTTTGGGAGAGGATAATGGCAATGGTAGTGAAAATTTGATAGGCATATCACTTGATATTGATATATGATAGACTCGGTTGGTGGAAAGAAGAAAAGAAAAAATTTTGGTCTTGGATCTATAAGCAAGACTTTAGTTGCATCTTCAAGTCAACCAACAAATTTAGAGGATGTTAATGCAATTAGAAGTCAAGTTCAAGCTCTAAATGAGTCACTACAAAGGCAAGAATAAGAGAAATTAGAGATGAGAAAGGAATTAACCAAAACTAGATAAATGAGAAAAGAGTTAAGGGATACTAAGAAACAATTAGCAGTTAATGCAATATTTAGGATTTGTTGCATCTAGCTTTCATCCACCGCCATCACCTCAATATAATAGTGAAGATAACAGTGATGATTATGATAATATTTGATTGTAATGATCATAATAGTTTTAAGTATTACATTTAATATAACATGTGATTATGTTTATTTTTAATAACATTTTCTAACATCATAGATAAAAGTAAACATTGTGGTCATTTGTTTTAAATTTTAGTAGTTTACTAGTTTATAAAATTTTCTACAAATTTACTCATTTTCACATTTATGGCATTATTAACTTCATCTTTGGTAATGCTACAGTGCTCCAAAATTCTAAGAATAAAATAGTATGATAAATTGTCTTGTTACCTTTGCCAAGATTTTCCTACAAATTTATTTGTAAAATTAGTTACATAAAGTATTTTCTTTTTGTAAATTTTTCTACAAATTTCTCTTATTTTCATAAGAAATTTTTCTTTGATAAATTTCTAAAAAATTTACTTATGTACTTTCTTGCAAATTTCTTAAAAAATAAAAATACTTGCAAATTTGCTTGCAAAATTTCTTATTCTTTTTATAATTTTTTTATGAAACATTTACATGCATATTTATCTGCAAATTCATTTGTATATTTTTAAGAGATTCTATTGAAAACTATTTTTGCAAGAAGGCATATGCAAATTTATTCCTACTAAAATTTGTAAAAAATTAACTGCAGATTTTATTTTTTGCCAAAATAATTACCCACGAAGGTTTTTCAGGTGACATAAATTTTCAGCAAAATTTGCATGAAAATCCTAAAATTCTAGTAGTAGTGATTATACTCAAGAGTTATAACTTGTTTCGAGTTACTTTAAATGAAGAATAAGTATTTTGTTAAATTTTCTAATGAGTTAAGGGCAAAGAGTTATTTAAGTGACTCAAATGATATACTTCTTGAAAAGAAAACTACTATGTTTTTATTTATAATTGGCCAAAATATTCATCATAGTTTGTATATCACTTCAAGCATTCAACAAAACAATTCTTGTTATTTTAAGCAAGTATTAAAAATAGCGTGTTTATTGAAAAAAGAGCTTATACAACAATAATTTATATAATTGCCTAACAAAATTAAAAATAAGTCAAAATATTACCCTTGATTGAAGGTATGTATGTAATACTTATTTATTATTTTAATTAGTTCTCATTTTATTCTTTTATTTTATCCTTAGTACTCATATAAGTACAGGGGTTCCTATTGAAAAATAAATTTCATGCAGAGAGAAAGGTAAATATCACGCGAAATGTTATGTGTGTTTTTTGTAACACCTTAATTTAATTTCTAAATATATAAATTTCACAAAAATGAGAATAATGAAAATTTTCATTTAAACGGTTCCCAATACCTATTTTCAGTAAAGCATTTCAAAATGAAGGAGGGTTACAAATTGCATCAAATGAATGCTACAAGACTAAGTCAAATACATCACAAAATTTCAAAGATAAATTTTCTAAGTCCTATTGCAGTTTCATCCCTCCCGTTCACTGAGTTTGGTGCTAATTGTCTTGGTCACCTGAAAAATAAATATAAGGTGAATACTCTATATTATCACATACAAGCACAGAGTCTCACCTTACACACCATTTACTAACATAATTCAAAACATGCATCAGACAAAAGCAAAATAATACTTTTCAACATTTCATTCAAAATTCACATACAGGTGTGCTCACTGCACCCTCAAATAATCCACACACAAGTGCGCTTACTACACGTATCCACGCTTACTGTGGCACTGTGATTACAGATTCCTGATACCCTCAACCTTAGGGACTTACTCAATTTCACACCATGGATAATCGCTGGATAGCTTCTACCCCACGGATACAACGTGTGCAGTACTAAGCTCCCAAGTGAAGGTATTAGTCAGAGACCGAGTTAAAAAGAGAATATGTGGCCTGTAGTGCACTCACGCTTACTGTTAGTGTCACCACTACCCTCTCTTCCCCAAGATATTTCTAATGCTCCCATCTTCCACACCCCTAGTGTATCACTGAACTATCAATAGTTTTCCAACATATTCAAACACAACCAACATGCCATTCACACATATTCACCCATTTCATATTGTCCATCATCCCATCAATGGCATGCAACCATATACAATCACCCATATTTTCAATCACATCATAGTTTTCATCTTCACACATCGCATGTACACACATAATCAGTCACATTACACTTAAACACACCATAATTCCAACACAATCTTATGTCAATCAAATTCATTTCATCACACACATTACCCAATAACTACCCTATTATATTTCACACAAAATTTCCACTAAGGGACACGCTTTCCTACATTCTATCTAAACCACATTTCATTATCTAGCTCTAACAATGAATTTCAAACTAAAAGAGATAGGGTAGAGTCTCTCTTTACCTCAAATTGAAGACCCAAACACAAAACCGACAATGAAAAGGCTCCCCATGCGGATCTTGTTCTAAACACATGAAAAATCTTCATGAGAACTTATGAAAACAAAGAAAGGGACGAAGGAACGAAACCCTAGCCCATAACAACTAGTTAACATTACTTTATACATCAATGACAATGCCTACAAAAGGATAGATCTCTTATAAGAATTTAAAGGTCTTATAACAAGAACAAAAGGAAGGAAAGTCAAAGAAACCCTAAATCAAATGGTGACGACTATTTTCAAGGTACTTAAGAACATGAAAAAGAAAAACTCAAAGTTGAAATCTTGTGTTCTAATTAAATATTATGAAGATTATGGCCAAATTCAATTTGTTAGCTCAATCATTATTTTTATTTATATTTTGAGCCAATACTTTATGTTTTAATTAAGTGGTTTATTATGTATTAAGTCAGTGGGTTGAATCACATTAGTTATTAAATTTCTTTAGGGTTTTATATTTTATTATATTTTGTAGGCTTAGTTTAGTTTTGAATAAGAATTAAGTGTTAACTCCTTGAGAAAACTTGTGTGCCTCTTAAGATTTTTGAAAAAAATTGTTACTTTGATCTTATTAAAGGTTCCTCACACTCCTGTGATAATTATATATTAAACTAATTATTCTTTGTTCTCCATTGAGTCTGTGGAGTTTTCTTCTCCTTTTTATTTTTTTTCTCATTTGTTATATTTAAATCTTAACTTTTATTCAAATTAACTCACAATTATATCTTTAGATTTATAAATCTTTTTTCAGTGTTTTCTAATAATATTTTATGTTTTAAAACATTGTCTTTTACCTTATTTTAGTAAGTTAAAATATAAATTTAAAAAAATTATTTTCATAAAATAAATATATTTCTTAACTTAATTGAATTAACTCGGGTCGGGTAAGACACTATGGGCGACAAAGCTCTCTATCTAAATACTTAATATAATTACATTCACTAGAACTTAATTTTAAAATAAAAATTAAATTGAAATAACCCTTTTAAATGTATTTATGTGCTCTTGATCTATTTTAATAATGTAAATTTAACTTTTTTATTAAAATATTAATTTAAAAAGTTTTGTTTATAAATAATTAAAAATATTAGTATTTTTATCTCTAATTATTTGAAATTACATTTTATTTTTAATAAATTTAATGAATCTATTTAAAGAACAAGGCTCTTCTCTTTTTAATTTTCTAAGACCTCTCTAGAATTATAAGAATTAGTTTATAGGTTAATTTGACTAAATTTGTAGATAAATTTTTATAAAAGATAAAAATTAATATAAAAAAATAAATAAATTTGTTATATAAATTAAAAATAACTTTTTTTATTAAGTATCAACTTAAAAGATAAAATTAGAGTACAAATAATACTCTAACCTATTATATCTCTAAAGAAAATTAATAATATACGTGATTTAAAAATTTTTAAAAAAATTAATTAAATAAAATAAATATAATTAATTTTAAATTATAAAAAATATTTACTTTATTTTATTATTTAATTTTTTACTCTTATAAATATATGCACACGTGTGATTTAAAGAAAATAAACGCAATTTGTGATAACTATGAAACGTGTACTTTATTAAATTGTGCAAAATTAAATGTGTAATTTAATTCCGCATAACTTACATATTTAACCGCAAATAAATGACCATCTTCTTTTGAAATGCCTTTTGTCATTCTGTCATTATTTGATATGTCTTGATTATATATAATGACTCAGTGACAGATTCTTTTACTTTTAAATTCGATCTTAAGTATCCTTATACCCAAGAAAATTATATATATATATATATATATATATATATATATATATAGCATATAAATTAGAGGATATCTTTTATGTTAAAGTGAGAAATAAATGTTAATTGTTAAATTTTACTATGAATGATGAAAAATAAAATATAATAATTATGCAAATTTTTTATATATTTATCTGACTTTTTTAATGATGGTATGACTTTTAAAATCTTTTAATTTTGATAATTTTTTAATATTTTAAATACAAGTTTTTCTTTTACTATATATACATTTTCTATATATAGACTTGCACGGATTTACTTATTTTAAAAATAAGTATTTTAATGTGTATTTTGACATAATCACCATTATCGTTTAAGAAGTATGAAAGGAAAAGGATAGGTAGAAAGGTCAAAAGTGGCATGTATGACTATTTTCATACTATTACTACAGACAGAAGAAGTATATATAGGCACGACAGGCTCTGCTCTTGTAGACAGAAAAAACTAGAGAAAAATCAGAAGAAGCTAGAGTGAGGTGCAGAGAGAATGGGTAGAGAGCAAATGAGTTTAAGGTTGTTGGTGGCGGTGTGGTGTTTGTGTTGTGTTATGACAACAAAGTTAGCAAGTGGTCAGAGTGCGAACAACGTTAGGGCCACATACCATTTGTACAACCCTCAGCAGATTGGTTGGAACTTAAACACTGCCAGCGCCTACTGCGCTACCTGGGATGCTAACAAGCCCTTGGCCTGGCGTCAAAAATATGGCTGGACCGCCTTCTGTGGACCCGCTGGCCCTCATGGCAGAGATTCTTGCGGCAAGTGCTTGAGTGTATGTAACCCATTTCCTCGTATCAATACCCTTTTCTTAACAAGTTTCCTCTTTCTAAAAGTCGTTCTTCACTTGTACATATATGTATACACAGGTGACGAATACTGCAACTGGGGCTCAGGCTACGGTGAGGATAGTGGACCAGTGCGCAAATGGAGGGCTGGATTTGGATGTGAATGTGTTCAGAAAGTTGGACACCAATGGAGTGGGAAACCAGCAGGGTCACCTTACTGTCAACTACCGCTTCGTCAATTGTGGTGATTGAGTCCAATCACCCTTTCTCATGCCCCCTCTGTAATAAAGTCATAAATAATTAAATAAAAAGAGAGGTGCTAATCGGAAGTACTTGTTCTTCCATTGCATCCTCTACTATATACAAGTAACTTGCTCTTCTTATTCATATTTTTCTCTCTGTTTTTCCTCTCTTTTTTCTCAGTCAGGTACTAATCAATACTACGCATATACAGCACTCAATAAAACGATAATCCTATGGAGTATGAGTATCAATGCTCTAGGTGAAGTAAACCGCTGATGTAATTAAAAATTGGATCAACGGCTAATGTGTTTTTATTCTTAATCCTCATACCCGTAATATTGGACCCTCCCGAATTTTCTTGACGTTTACTTGGAGTGAAATTTCTTTCTTTCTCTCTTTCTTTCTTTTTCTTATGATACATGGGCGTGTATAATACGTATCACTGTTAAAACTAAATTGATTTTCTTTACTTTAAATTTTAATATTAAGTTTCAATATTTAAAATTAGTAATTTTCAAAAATATATACTATATTACAAATATAAAAATATTACATTTTTTTAAATAAAAATTCATTACTTTTAATTTTTTTTAAACTAAAATTTAAAATAATATTAATAAAATCGATTAAAAGAAAGCATTATATGACTCTTTCAAATGAAAATTAATTATTTCAAGAATTTCATTAAAGTTTTAAAATATAAAATAATAATAATAATAACAATAACGATAATAATAAAAGAAAAAACACTCTAATACTATCATGTAGGTGTTTTGTTTAATTACCGACCGGAGCTTTTATGTCGTGTGTTATGTGATAATTTATATTATAAAAATAATCATGTTTATTGTCTCACCAAGTGAGACATTTATAAGGGTCCACTTTATATTAAAAATGCATTAATAAAAATAAAAAAATACCATAAAAAATATAATAGGTTAAATAATAAGATTAATATAAAAAAAATATTGCAATATTGTGATGTCGAGAATTCGGCTTGCAATTAGCTGAAGCTGAACTCTACATAATACACAAATTAAAATTTTAATTATTATTATTATTATTAAATAAAACTGATTTGAGATTCAGGTTCTCGTGTTTTGAGCTACCAAACATTTTCATATACATATTCATATATACAATATATATATATATATATATATATATATATATATATATATCATCTAAATTTAGGAAGAATTTCTGATTTTTTTAACATTAAAATAAAAATTTTATATTATTTATCCTATTATGAAAATTTAAAGTCTTTTACATAAATAAACAAAAAATAATAATTACATATTACATACATTTCTTAAATCATGTTCTAACTATGATTGTGCCTTTTTTTGGTTTTGTGCGTGTTTCTATCTATGAAAGAAGTTTATTATAATTGATTTCTATTTGCGTGAGAAAATGTGTGAAAAGATTATAATTGAATTTGGTGTAAGTGAAATAATTAAGATTTGAATTTAAAGAACTATGTTTTGCGTGTTTTGCATAGAATGGGTGACATTCATATACTAATTGTTTTGTTCCATTTAGAGAACAGTGTATTAATGGGTAACATTCACATACTACTTGTTTTGTTTCCTAATTTCTATGGGTCTATCATGCTACTTACATCATCATTTACATATAATCATTGAGGTATTATTATATATTTTTATTGTATAAATATAAGTTTTCATTGAATAGGATTTGTAGGTTATTAGTATAATAAATATTAAAATTCGATATATATGTGTCCTTAAATGTAAATTTTTAATATATTATTTTTGTAAAAAAAAACTCATGTTATATATGTAAATGTATTATTAATCATAAAAAAATAATATATTTGACAAAAAGTGATGAATATATTTTTTGATGGATAAAGATACTTCTAAAAATATATCAAAGAATGCAGGTTAATTAATTTGACATCAAAAGTAAAAATAAATAAATGAAAAGTTTTTTATTTAGTCTTATTAAATAATTTCTTAATACATAACTTCAAAAGTTGATTGTAATTAACCTTTTCACTTATACTAAAGTTAATTATTATTAATTTTTAACACAATTTCTCACATAATAGGCGGCTTTTTTTATGGCACATAAAAATAGAACGGAAGTGTGATCATATTTAAATTAGAAGACGATTATGATATATTTCTCTTTTATATAAAAATTGATGTTAATAAACTTTTATTTTATTAAATTAAGACATTTATTATAAACATACTTAATTTGAAAAATGTATTTAATATGCTATTTTTTTAATTTTTTTATTTACGTAAAAGACCCGAAAATCTATTTGTGATAGTTCAGAATTTCATGAAGGCAAATAAAATTGAGTTCTGTTAGGCGAAATAAAGTATAGATGAAAGTCAAATTAGAGGGGTCCACTTCATTATTGTACTGGTGTTTAAATTGAACTGGTGTTCATATTATAATTTTATAATATGTTAGCTTCTATTTTGCAGAATATTTGAACGGGCTGAATGGAAAAGTACTCTCTGAAGTTTATCTGAACAAGTATTTTTGCAAATATTTTAAAAGATACTTACAGGATATTTGATAAAGATTTAAAATCTTTAAATAAAAGTTAGATATTTTATGAAATATTGTATTTCTTGATTCTCCAAAAGGACTCTTTCAATTCATGTTTGCAATACTTGTTTTATAAGAATTAAAATACATAAAAATAGAATTTAAACTCAAACGTCACCGTATAAACCAGCTGTGTCTTTCTTATTTGTTTTAAAAAGCGGTAGCCGCTAGAAGTTCAGTTGAAGGCCGAAATGAGGGCTGCTTTGAATCCCATAATACACATACACTCGAGTCTTTTCAGATTATATATTTCATTTGGGTAAAGTGATCCATGCATGTAGAACTGGATAAGAGAATACGTGTTTTAATTTGAACCGACTATAAAATGATACGTGTTTTAATCTACTTTGATTTAAACGTAATATTAAAGATGAATTTTGCAGTCTCCTCGATTTAATTTATTTTTCATTTATTAATCATTATTTTATATAAGAATTTTAAATATTTTTTTAGTTCAAAATTATTTTTATCATGTTAAATTTATTGATAAAAAAGAAAAAATACATACTCAATTGAGAGAATGACGCGTCATATATTTGATTACATTTATTTTTTGAAAATTATTTTGATAGTTTAGAAGTAATTTAGTTGAATTTTGAGTCTCTTTATACTAATTATTATTTTTGTGTTTTAGAACCTTTAATCAATCTTAATCCATTGCGAATTGCATCATGGTGAGTAATTGGCATCTCTAAGAGGTAAAGACCATAAGCACAGTTGGAAACAGAAAGTATGAATCAAATAGAAGATAGGATTGCAGAAACTTTGTGGAAGCTGCATGTGCATGATTGCGAAATTTAAGGGACAGATAAACGGGTATTGACAAACAAACATTGTGTGCAATTTGCAAACGATGACCTTTGAATGGGAACAGTTATCATATTCGCCGCGTACAAGGAAAAAGCAAGATTTTGACCAACTTTTTATTCCGAAGAAAATTAATTAGCTTCTTATCTCGACCGTCGTCAATCACTTTGTTTGTTCCACATAATTTTCCACGAAGATCTTTCATTCAGAATGGTTTCGCCTGGGCCATCTTATCCTCATTTTAAATTCGCACTCCTGGATTCTAAGGCGATTTCTTTTTCCCAAAGTAGAACACTTTTTCAAATAGATTAATTAATTTATAATTAGTCATACGGCCTTCTCTAGCACCTTGTTTTCTTATGAACGTAATCATTAATTAATATTTTTTTTCCTTATATACGATGACTATATATATTATCTATTAAAATCAATTTTAAAAAATCTCATATAGAATAAGACAGACAAATTAGGAGTTTATAAAAAATCTCACAATATATAAGACATAAGATAGACAAGTTACGAGTTTATAACAACATGACTACACACTTTTTGCTTGAGAGTTTTGTGTTGTATTGATATTTTAACATTCTTTATCATTTTCTGAAACTTTGAATATTCCCTCTAAAAATAAGATGTCTGGCACGAATTGCGTTAAAGACTATGTAAAGTAAAATATAATTCCAATGCTATACGAGGAAGCAGAAATAGCTAGTTTGCATAAGCTTTGAGTATACTATCGATTGTTGCCGGCCACAAAGAAGGCTATAAATGCAAGCACATAAAATTGAATGGCAAGGCAAAGTTGTAAAATAAGCTTATCACAATTGAAGTGAATTATGGGAAAGCTTATGCTATGCGTGTTGTCTCTGGTGTGTGGACTAGCTTCGGCCTGGGCTCAAGGTGCCACAGTCACGGCTACTTATAATTTATATCAACCTGAGCAGCATAATTGGGACTTGCTCGCGGTGAGCGCATTTTGCGCCACGTGGGACGCAAACCAGCCATTGTCATGGCGCAGCAAATATGGCTGGACAGCCTTCTGTGGGCCCACTGGACCTCAGGCCCAAGCTGCATGCGGCAAGTGCTTGAGGGTATGCATGAACTGATAAAATATTATATTTTTTCTTTTTTGCATTTGGATTGATGAGGAAATGGAGATAATAAAATGTTAATGTAGGTGAGCAACACTCGAACAGGAGATGAGGAAACAGTGAGAATTGTGGATCAGTGCAGCAATGGGGGTTTGGACATGGATGTTAGTGTGTTCCAAAGACTGGACTCAGACAGAAGTGGGAATGCTCAAGGTCATCTCATCGTCCACTATGAATTTGTGGACTGTGGTGACTAAACTTGTTCTCTTTCAATTATGGTTCTAGTTAATGTTAGTTAGCTAGTTACTAATAATTCCATTAAACTGGAAGGAAGAACGCTTCTGATATTTGTTGTTTTATTTCATTTCATTTTTCATAATAAAAGTCTTATCATGTGTTTCCTTTTTATTTTCCATTTCCAGCTTCAAATAAAAGTTGCCATAGTAACCGGATGCATATCTAAATTTTTTATTTCGCTTTGATATCGTTGTACAATAAAGTTTAAATTACTTCTATTTCTATACTCTCTTTTTTTATCTTTCGGTTTTTTCTATCACATCATATATATTAATATCGACTCAAACTTGAATATTTATATTATTTAATAATTTTTTATAAATATAAAATTAATTAATGCAACCATTGATTTGCAGATTTTTATTAAGTAAATCAATATAATAATTTTTTTAATAAATACTTCATTATATTATTTTATTTAATAAATATTATATTTTTAAAATATGTGTAAATATCACATTTAAATAACATACCTACAAATGTTGTTTAAGTTGTGTAAAATTTGACATGCATAATAATAAATGTAATATAAGATAATTTAATAGTTAAATTTGTCAATATTGAATTCTATGAAAAGTTAATAAAATGTGTAAGTATTTAAATTTAACATTTGATACCAATAAATCATAACTCATATATATATATAACATGTTAAGAATAATTGTGATTTTTTATATTTTTATGTTTTAATACATATTTCAATACAAAATATATTTGATTAAAATTAAATTAATTTTTCTATTTTAATTTTGAAAAACTTTAATTAAAAATTTAAAGACAAAATAATTTAAATTTTCAATTTAAAAATTAATTAATTTCTACCAATTTCTTTCTTTATTTTTTGCTATACTACCGATCTCTTTTCAAAACATATACATACAATCATTATTATTGTTGCCATTTGCTAATTTTGCAATTATTTAAATACATAGCCACTATCTCAATCAATATTTTATAGATAATTGTTATTTGTCATTATTATTCCTTATAGTCTTCTTCTAGTTAAAGCGTGGAGAGAAAAATGTCAAAAATTTAAAAAAAAATCAAAATCATCATATGATAAGTATTTTTAACATTTTTTTAATTATATGTATTTTTTAAGTAATTATTTTTTTATCTGAGATAAATAGAAAAATTCTCTCTTCGAGTATCTAACACTTTTTTAATTTAATATATTATTAATCATAAATTAAAAACTATTTTAATTTATAAAATATGAAGTTCATTAATAAAAAGTAAAATCACATATTTTTTACTTTTAATAATTTTTAATCAATAATAAAAAAAAGTACTATTACTAACATTTTTCTTAACTAGTAGGCAGAAAGAACTCTTCAATTAATGCCAACCAATTTATTCCCTAAAAGTACAATCAGAAAACTAGAATTTTTATTTCTTTTTTGTGAACAACTAGAATCCTTTGAGTCAACAGTTATGCCTGTACTGCTTTGGACTTGATCTTTTGTTTTATTTGATCGATGTTTGAGCTTTGTTGTTCACTGTAGCTTATTTTTTGGTGCAGGTCCACTGCAGATTTAAGTCATTGTGGGCCCATGACAGAATAGGAATGTGGGCTTCAGCCCGTTATATTTGCTGACTTGATACCGTTGACTTCTCTCACCCAATTTAGGCCTCCTTATGTCCTGGGTTTATTTGGATGCGCCTTGCATTACTATTATGTTATTAGAAATTAAATTTTGTGAGGGTAAAAGTCAATTTTTCATATTTTTTTGAAGATTATGAATTATAATTCTAGAATTTTTGGAAGTCTATTTCACTTCTGGAAATTAAATTTTGAATGTGTAAATCTCAAAAAAAATATTTTAAAAATTATTATTATAGAATTGTATTTTTAAAATTGTATAACTTCAATTCTATAACTTCTTGAAAATAAATTTTAAAAGTGCAAAAATTAATTTTAGAAAAATAATTATAAAAGCTTGTAAATTATAATTTTGAAAGTATAAAATTTGACTTCTGAAAATTTAATTCCAAACGCTTGTGAACTAAATTCACAATTAATTTTTCAAAAATTAATTTTGAAAAATTAAACCAGAGACAGGATTATCATAATATTGGTGAAAAAATATGATGAATGATTAACACCAACCACAATCACAATAATTTTAAGAGGTGATTATGAAAGGTAAAAATTAATAATAAAAAATTATATTATTATGAGATAATAGAATTGTATAATTAAATAGTGCATGAGTAAAAATTTTTAAAATATATATATATTATTATTAAATTAACTAAAAAATAGTTCAAATTAAAATGAGATAGCAATTAAGTAATACATAAGTGAGAGAGTATATTTAAATCATTAAATATATTTTAAAAAATTAATAATTTGAATCTTTAATTTATCTTTACTTAATAATATCAACTTTCATAAATTTATGATTTAATCATATTCTTTTAATCTTCAAAAGTTGTTATTTTAGAACTTAAGCGAAAAAAGTAGAGCTTAAAAATGTTGGGGTTAAGAAAACTTTTACATTACATTATGTTTTCATTGGCTAAAGACAAAAAAATAATAATTTAAAAGTAAAAATTTCCCTTTGCAAAGAATAAACATATTTTTTTACCTAATAAAACTTGCTGGACAAAATCAATTTTTGAGGTCTAAAAGTGTCATTGGTGATTTTAAATTTGACAACTTTACTATTAGGAAAAATCACCATTTTTATTTTATTTTATCTTGTATTCTTGTAATTCACACATAAAGATCATATTTTGGTAATTATACAAAAATTTTATCATATAACAAAAAAAAAGTCCAACCAAGATCTATAGGCATGTCTCCACAAGCTTTATCATAAGAATGAAGTGTCATGCTTGTTAGGGTACGCAAGTTGTGTGATAATAAAGAGAGGAACAAGAGATGGATGATGGAGGATACAATATGTAGGAATCAAGTTCTTAAGGAGACTCTAGAAGTATTTGAATTTGTTAAGAATATTCATACATAACTAGACATACTTGTTGAAAAGTTTGTTATAAAAAATAATTATTCATATATTATTAACTTCTAAACACTTTTTAAAAAATCCATATCATGCTTATTTTGTATAAGTATGATGATTAACTAATTAAGAATTAACATGATATAGGAGACATATGATAAAATTAAAAGAAAAATTCAATTAAATAATATCCAAATTCTGTCCACCTTAAGTAAGATGATTAACCATTTAAATATTAACATGATGAAGGAGACAAATGGCATAATTAAAAGAAAAATTAAATTAAGTAATATCCTTTCCTCATAAATTGATAACATAAATATTTTATACCTTCTAAAAGGTTTGCGACTTATGTGCTTATCAAGTATATGTGATTAGAGTGAATTTTTTAGATAATAATTTAGATTTAAGTCTTATGCATTGCTAGTAAAACAATTATTATTTTAAAATAATATATCACTTAAGCAAACATAAGCACTTAAGTAATAATTATTTGACTTAAGCAAATTGTGTAAACAAATATTTCTTTCATTTTTAGCTTAAGTGAAAAATATAGCTTAAGTAAAACTTAGTAAACTTTGTATAGATATCACTGTATAAACTTAGCTTAAATGAATCTACAAATGGTTTAAGTAGAAAATAGAATTACCATCACTTAAGCGAATATGGTATAAGTTAAGCGAATTTTGCAAAGAATGATTTTTCAGCATTTCTTAGTATTCAACCACTTTTCTTTAGTCATTATCCCTTTTTCAGTTTAGCCAAATTGTTCATTGCTAAAAGAATTGGATTGTGTATATTATATTTTTAAATTTAATTGGTTTCATATACAACTCAAAGTATGACAATGCAAGGTCAGTATAGTTATTTAGTTTATTAGATTTGAGAAATAAGTTTGCATGCTATTTAGGAGGGAAAAATCAAGTGTTGCAAATAATATTCAAGTAGGATAAGACTAGTGTACTGGATAGGGCACTATTTGGTCTTACCTCTAGGAAAAGGTAATCGAGTATCCCTTTGGTCTAATATAGCTGAATACCCTTTGTCAAATTAAAAAGTAATTAATCCAATTAAGGGTAATAATCAGAATATTATCTACTTTAATTAAAGGGTCAAAACTAAGGTTGACTCAACAAGTCCATTAGCCCATAACAATGCCTATGAAAAGAAGGTAGGAAGTATAGGTAAAAGGTGGACTTTTCAATATAAAATAACATTTATTGCTCAGAACCGAATTCTAACTTCAGCATCAGAGTGCCTTTTACAGGTACCCTCCCTACGTCAAGTAACACTTGAAAACTAGTGTTTCTCGAACAGGAACATTTTGGCGCCCACCGTGGGGCATGAATAGCCTCGCTTTTTCAGTCATCATGGTACTAACAAGAAGCCAACAGGAGGGACAAAATTATCAAGGACGAACTTCTCGTCAACAGGAAGAGGTCACACCCAATCAACCGATCCCTGAAGTTTTGGCCGAAAGAGGGGGAGATGCAAGCCTCTCTTCTGTATTAAGACAGCTCCAGGCCGAGATGAGAGAAATGCAACAGGCCAGAGAGAGAGATGCTCTTGAGATGTCGGCCTTAAGGAGGGAGAACGCTAACTTAAGGGAGGAAATTAAAACCCATATACCCTCTCAAACTACCCCGTTCGCTCAAGAGCAGGGAGAGTCCTCGGCATTGCAAGAAAAGCCTAAGGGAACTCCACAAGTTGGAATCCCTACTGAACGGAACGATGTCTCAGGTCGAAGCTCTTTTATTCAGCCTATCCTGGAGGCCAAGTTACCCGATAACTGGAGAGGTTTAACGTTAGAAAAGTATGATGGAACGACTGATCCAGGAGAATACTTGGATATTTTTATAACCTAAGTCGGTCTGTATACAGAAAATGAGGCCTTATAGTGCATAATTTTCCCCACTTCCCTTCGAGGACCAGCCCTCAGTTGGTTCACTAGGCTACCCCCTTCGTCCATTGATTTGTTTGCAACCCTTACCAGATGATTCAATTTATAGTTTGCCACTAGTCATCCTCATCAACTGACCTCGTTGGTTTTGCTTAATATTCACTAGGAGAAGAAGGAAACACTCAGGTCGTTTATGAAACATTTCGGGCAAATGGCCCTCTCTATCTAGAACTTGGAT